TCGTAGTGCGGCAGGCCCTGCACCTGGTGGCCGTAGGTGCCCTGTGCTCGAGCTCCTGTCGTCCAGAGGCCCTTGGTCACTACTTTGAGCCTTGCCATCCTGCGCATCCTCCTGATGGCGTGGGCTCGCCTGGCGGCCTTTTGCATTCTCTGTCTGCCTTTGCGTCGTGTGCGCATGCTCGCGGCGTTGCAGTCCACGCCCAGGTCAGTGAAGTTGCCCTCAGCCTTGGCGGGTATGCCGCGTTGCTGGGGGCCTTTTGCAATGGCGATGGCCAGCTTCGGAGAGCTTGCTATCACCGTGGTCTTCGGGGAGACCGTGAGGCCCGCCTCTTTGAGGCACTCGCCCAGCATGGCGCCGTTGTCGATCAGCTGCTTCTCCACGTTGGCCTCGGTGCCTTGGGAGCGCAGGACCGTGTCGTCTACGAACGTCCAGAGGCCTATGTCCGCCTGCTTCGTGAGCTGCGCACGGTGGAGGATGGGCCCCATGAAGGCCCTGGCCAGCCGTACACCCTCTGGAGAGCCAGCCAGGATGGAGCGCCACGGCTGGACCTCCCTGCTGACCCACTGCCGCTCCTTCAGCAGCCTCGGCGCCAGGCGCATCTGAACCTCAAGGCAGAGCACGATGGGCGGGTATCCTTGCTCCAGCGCGTGCTGCACAAGCTTGACCACGCTGATGCTGTCGTAGAACTTGGCCAGGTCTAACAGTAGAGTGGCCGTGGTTATTCCCATTTCTTTCGCTGATTCGTCGAGAGTGGCTCGAAGGATGCTGGCCCGTAGGGCCGACGAGCCTCGTATTGCTGTGTCCCAGAACTCGCTCAGATTGACGCTCCACTCGCTCGTGATGCTGCCCCTGAGCTTGCTCCACGTCTTCATGACGAACGGGAGCTGGCCTAGGATCCTGTCGCCCCCTCCCTTTCCTTTGGGCACAACAGATCCGATGGTCGCGAGCATCTGCCTTGGCCACGCTCCGACCTCCTCGATGTCATTGAGGAGGTCGATCATTCCTTGCCTCCCCTCAGTCGGGAGCCTTTGCACCTCCAGCGGCCCGATGTTGTCGATCCCTTTGGCCTTGGTGGCTGTGATGGCGGGGGGCAGGCGGTCCAGCTGCTGCAGCTGGAGCGGGGCCAAGGGTTGCTGCCAGGCGCGGCCCATGACCATGTGGATGCCGTCGAGGATCTGGTCGGGGGTCACGCTGGGGTCGGCCCAGTGCTTTTCCCATTCGTCAGCTCGGTTGCTCATGATCTGGTCAGGGTCCGCCACGGATCTCCCTTGCTGGATCTTCTCAACTGTCTCAGGTCTCGGATCCTTGACCATGTTGTGGAGGTGCCGCGGAGCTTCATTCCACATCTTGATTGCCCAGCTCTGGTAGGCCTTCCTCGACTTGGTGAGTGCCTGCCCGACGGCCCTCCCTTGGTACCTCTCGCTGGTCTCGATGACGGGGATCACATCCTCGACGGGGATGTCCTGCAGCGTCCTCATCATGGCCTTCCAGTTTCTGAACTCCTCGCCGTCGTCCTTGTTGAACACCTCGTGGATCTGCATCTCCTCGGCCTTCTGCATGATCTCGACTATCTTGCCGTTGCAGCTGGCGGCCTCTATGATCCTGTCGGTGCGCCTGAGCATCTCGTAGCGCTTGAGGATCGTCACCGCAATGTGCCACCACTCGAGGTGTGGGTCTCGGAGGTGCGCTCGCGCCGGCGTGGCCGAAGTCCTGACCCACTTGATGGCATATCCTCTTCCTCTGCCCATGTAGGCGTCCTGTTTGTCTGTGTCGATCTCGTGGTGCTGGAGGGTCGCAAGCTCCAGGGTCGTGATCCACCTCGCGAAATGGCTGTCGATCTTCTGCTGGCCCTGTGGATCCCTCATCAGCAAGAAGTGGTACTTGCTCTGTTTGCATCTCGATGTTGCTGTCGGTGGGGCGGCTGGTCTCTGCCAGGCTGTCACTCCTGGGGTCAGTCCTCTGGCTTCAACTGCTACACTCGCTTCTTCCCATACTTGCACTGGGATGTTGAAGGCCGTGGTGGGTACAGCCTCCCTGGTGTCATCATCTTCGTCGAGATCATCGTACATCTCGTCGAAGGCGGCCTGCAGGTGCTCGTGGAGCCTGGCGCGCCTCTCCTCCTTGGCCTTCTGAATGCCCTTCTGCCTCTTGCTGTTCGGGTCGGCCTGCTTCTTGGGCCGCGGGACCGTGGGGGGCTCGTGCGCGATGTCCAGCTTCCTGTGCCACCACCTCTGCTTGCCGTCCTTTATCGTGAGCTTCAGGCCTATGTGGTCTTTCCAAGGGACCTCCTCGACCGCCTGCAGCTTCAGGTGGCCTGTCGTACCTTTCGAGACGAGGGCATAGTCGATGGCGCTGCCCGAGCCCCTGTTGCACGTGGCGGTGCAGTTCTCCACCAGCAGCCTCTCCCCGCTGAGCTTCATGAGCCATTGTGTCTTATCCCATTCGTCTGGCGTGATGTTCCAGTCGCCCAAGACCACCCAGGGGTCACGCAGCTGGCGGAGGAAGGCACCGAGCCTTACCAGGGTCCGCTGGTTGGCCTCCTTGAACCCGAGCTGCGGGAGGAGATAGGCACTGACGATCACGATGTTTCCCGACTTGAGGTGCCAGCACGTCGGGCAGAACCCCTCGAACGGGTCCTGGCCAGATTTGTGTCTGCCTGCTTCTCTCCATGCCTCGAATGAAGTTGTCTGCATCTGCTTCTTGGCCAAGATCCACTCGCCTCCAGATGAGCCCGTCGCAGAGCGTCCCGTCAATCTCGCTGGTGTGCCAAGTAGCTTCCATCCGTCTCGTGACAATTCACAACGCGCCTTGCTTGTCACGTCGTCACTGGCATGTGTCTCGACCAGGCCGATGATGTCGTAGCTCTCGGCCTGGGCCCGCATGAAGCCTCTCGCCTGCGGGCCCCACTTCGTGATGTTGCTGAAGAGTACTGTCGCGTCCGTGCAGCGCTGCCTCTTGGCGCGCTGCGTGCTGGCTGCCTCCTGTCTCAGAGCGTCCGCAGCCTGGGCCCCTGCGCCTCCGTCGGCCTCGTCCCCGCTAGGGAGACGACCGCCCTCCCCGCTGGGGCCCCTTGGAGGCCGCTCGGCTCCCGCCGCACGGCTTGGCAGCTCTGCCAGCGCCGCCAGCAGCAGGAGCAGGAGCGGCCGCAGCCAGGGGCGGGCCGCCGCTGGCGCCGCTGGTGGCCGCTGCCGCCGCAGCGGGGCCTGGGCCGCCAGAGGGGGCCGCTGCGCCGCTGCCGCTGGGCGGCGGGGGCCAGGCTGGCAGGCGGCTGCGCGCGTCGGCGATGGACTGCTCGAGGGTGGCCGCGAGCAGCTCGGGGTCAGTCTTGTCCAGGCCAGGGACAGCGATGCTCTCGACCGCCTGCTCCTCGTCGCCCGCCATGGCGACATCAGGCTGCTCCTGGGCAACCTGCTGCGCTGGGGCCTCAGCCGCGCTGGCGGCCTCGACCCGCGCCCGCTTGTGCGGGCATGCCTTGATCTCCTCGATCTTGGCCCACATCTCCCTGACCTTGGCGCCCTCGGCGACCATGGTCTGGTAAGCGGTGTCGGGGGCTGCACGGTGGCCCTCCAACTCCCTCCTCTTCTCCTCGTCGAGCTGGTCGAGGCCCTCGTTGAGGAGGGACATGTCGAACGTGAAGATGACCTTCTTGCCGTCGCTGGTGGTGGTGTCGTCCGCTGGGCGCCTGTGCACGGTCGAGGCCAGCGACTGGACCGCATCCTCATGGTCCTTCTTTGCCTTGATTCTCTCGGTGCACGCCAAGACGTGTGCCTCCTTAGCCTTCCTGGTGGCGTACTCGGCCTTGACGAGCGCGTCGGCGGCCTTCTGGAGCGCCGCCTCCTTCTGCTCAAGGATGGCGGCCGTGGACTGGACCTGCTGCGACGGAGTCCTCGTCTTGGCCTCCGTCTCGGTCTTGGCTGCAAGGTTCTTCTTGGCCTGCTCCACTGCATCGTCAGGGAGGATGGCGGCGCAGAGCTCCAGCGCCTTCTTGAGCTGCTCTGCAACGCTCTGCTGGGTGGTCCCACTGCTGCCTCCGTTGCCGCCCCAGCGACGGCCATGCTGCCTGCCCTCACGCCACGGCGATCCCGCAGCGACGTCGATGGCAGCAGATTGTCCTCCCTGCGGCTTGTACAGTTGTAGCTTGGCTCCGCATTTGATGCACTTCCCGTTGTTGCGTTCGATCCTGAAGTTGAACGCCCACTGCCCGCACCCGCACACCGTGAATGGCTGCCTGCACCCATTCGAGAAATCCATGGTGTGATGTGGCAGAGAGCGAGGGCTTGTATCGAACAGCAGTGGCTGTCGGGGGGAACGTGGCCCTGAAAGGATCGGGGTATGGCTCGGACTAGAGCTATCCGTTTTGGCACGGAGGCGCGGGCCCCCCCCCCTGCTAGGAGGAGGAGGAGGAGGAGGAGGAAGAGGAGGTAGGAGGAGGAGGAGGAGGAGGAGGAGGAGGAGGAGGAGGAGGAGGAGGAGGAGGAGGAGGAGGAGGAGGGAGGAGGAGGAGGAGGAGGAGGAGGAGGAGGAGGAGGAGGAGAGGAGGAGGAGGAGGAGGAGGAGGAGGAGGAGGAGGAGGAGAGGAGGAGGAGGGGGAGGAGGGAGGAGGAGGAGGAGGAGGAGCAGGAGGAGCAGGAGGAGGAGGAGGAGGAGGAGGAGGAGGGAGGAGGAGAGGAGGAGGAGGAGGACGACGAAGGAGGAGGCGAGGAGGAGGAGGCGGAGGAGGAGGAGGGGGGGGAGAGGAAGAGAAGGAGGAGGAGGAGGAGGAGGGAGGAGGAGGAGGAGGAGGAGGAGGAGGAGGAGGATAGGAGGAGGAGGAGGAGGAGGAGGAGGAGGAGGAGGAGGAGGAGGCTGAGGAGAGGGAGGAGAAGGATCAGGAGGAGGAGGAGGACGAGGAGGAGGAAGGGAAGGGAAAGGGAGGAGGAGAGGAGGGCGACCCCCGGCTGCACTGCCCTCGCGGGCAGCACGCGCGCCAGCTGCAGAGCACCCCCCCACCCCGCGGGCACCGGGCCCCACGGGCACCACCAGCGTCGGGGGCTGCACCGGCCCGGCGGCCGCGGCCTGAGCGGCGCGCTCGGGAGGCCCCCGAAGACCCCAGGCTGAGGGGCAGCGTCGAGGGGCCGAGGGCCTCGCGGAGCATCGAGGGCGCAGTGTCGAGGATCGAGCTCCGAAGAGAGCGCGTCGAGGAGTTCTGCTCCTCCCGCGTGGAGGACCCCTTGCCGTTGAGGGCAACGTCAGGGGGGACGCGGGCGACGCACACGCGCACACGCGCGCGCACACACGCTGCGTATCCGCGGCCTCGCGGGCTGGGCCCCCATGCCGCGACCCCGCAGAGACGAGGGGCGGTGTAAAGCTTGTTCGCAAATGCCACGCGATGAACGCAGCCGTGCGACCGCGCATCCGCGGGATCGCCCCCCAGGATCAAGACCGCAAGGGCGCGGATACGGACATGTTCGCCGCTCGTGAGAAGGACCAACTCAGAGGGGAAAGGCCCCCGATGGTCGGCCCTGGGCGTGGTGGGCGATCAAGCCCCATATCAGCGATCAATGGGCGATTGGAGGTCGATGCGTCCCCCCTGCACAGACCGCCTCGGGATGTAAAGCCGACCCCCAGGAGCCATGGGAGCCTCGATCAGAAGTGTATACCGTCGGAGGTCCGCGCGGGTCTCTGGGATCAACGCTGGAACCTCCGACCTGGCGCGCGGAGCGCGCAAGGTGTCGGGAAGGAGAGGCGCAGGAGGAAGAAGAAGAGGAAGGAAAGGAGATGGAGGAAGGGGCGGAAGAGGAGGGAGGACGAGTCCCCCTTCCCCCCCCTCTCCGCTCCTTACTTTCCCTTCTCCCTCCCTCCACTCCGCGTTGCCCCCCTCTCCCCCCCCCCGCGCCGACCTCCTCCCGTCCTCCCTCCTCCGCCCACCCCAAACGACGCCAACGCCGACGCCGCCGACTCCGACTCGGACCGCCGCCGACGCCTGACGACGGTCGACGTACGGCTGCGCCGGCGCCGCCGAGGCCGCCGAGGCCGGCGACGACGCCAACGCCGCCGCCGGCGACGACGACGGCGACGACACCGACGCAGACGCCGACGCTGCCGCCAGCAGCGGCGCCGACGACGGCGGCGGGCGCCGCCGCTGCCGGCGAGCGGCGAAAAGGAGGCGCCACGCCTGCTGCTGCTGCTGCTGCTGCTGCGCGTAGAACGGGAAGGGCTGCGCCTGCTGCTGCTGCTGCGCGGCCCCGGGGTACCTCGTGCGGCCAGGGAGGCGGCCCCACACTTCGACTGGGGGGTCGACTACAGGAGTGATGCACCCCAAAAAATGATTTCCACGTCGACTCTTCGGCAAAATGCGTCAACCATTCGCAGATCTGCAACAGTTCTACGAATTACCCGTGGACCCGGCAAGAAAAATCAATTCTAGGGCAAATACATTATGTAATCGATCCCCTACTCGAACACTGCCGTTAAGCCGAACAAAAAAGGATGCACAATGAGGATGCGAGGACCTTGGAAGGCCATGCCGGCACTGTGCGAGCGGGGCGCGGCCAGCGAAAGCGGCCAAGGATGGGCCCTTCTAAAGGTAACCTCGGAAATGTACCAGCCTTGCTATGCGGGTTGACTGTGCTCTAATCGCAGCTGGGATTACAAGGGGGACGAAATCAAGACACTGAAACAAGGACCGCTCTGGGTTCAGAAATTGCAGGCTGTTTCTGAGGTAATTCTGTGGTTGCTCCTGTAATTCGCCCTCCTCGTGCACCCAGGCTCTTCTTTTGCCAAAGAGGGGCTTCGCTCCTTAACTTGACTGGAGGGGGTTGTCTGAGTGAATGCCAGGCTGGGTTAGTCGGTTATTTATGTATGACCTAACCACAATTCATCTGGGGTCACGACTGTTGTACATCACCCCCACAGACAAAGTGGTCCGGCACAAGACCGTGGAAAGGGGGGTGAGCACAAATGATGCATCCCCTGGGGACACGATATTTGTACACCACTTCGACGAACAAGCTGATGCGGCACAAAGTACGCGCGCGGGGGCGGTGGCCATAAATATGATCCCGGTTATCAGTGGGTTGCAAGTGCCCTAAGCGGCTTACGGGGGGCAGGGATCAGGGTAAAGGACGAACAACCCACGTAGCAGAGTTACCTGAGTCGCATGTGTAACCAATGTGCAAACCGGGGTAGGCCAAACATATTCCACACGAACATCCACGTATGACTCCTCGATCCGCTTAGCAGACTTAGCGATCCAAATGGACCCAACTGCGTTGTGAAAAAAACCTCCCCGTGCAAATGACAAACAACGAACATCGTCGCGGCGATCGGGCCCTGGGACCGTCAAAAAACGACTCGCGATGGAGAAGGGGTCCAGACTTACTGCGGTCCCCGTTGCGAAGAAATCATGATGTCGGAGTCCTGGGACCAAGGCGGCCGGAATGACCAGCGACCACGAGGACCCCCAGAATTGACAAGCGACCGATCCATCCCCCCTACCCGAAGGCCATATGGAAGGGGGGTGACTCTCTGCTTGAGTGGGCCACCCGAGTGATTTCCAGGGGGGGTGGGGGGCTCTCGAGAACATTGTGTATCAGTTCTGCGCCCCCCCCTTGCCCGACATTCTTATGTTTCGGATACAGTCAACCCGTATACGAAGGACCCACGATAAAGATGCAAGAACCTTGGAAGGCCATGTTGACACTTTGCAAGCGGGACGTGGTCAGCGAAAGCGGCATGGGCCGAAGGGGAAGGAGTGCAGCCTTGGAAGCTTGCTCATCTCTGCTATGCGGGTTGACTGCAGTAGTGAAGGAAACGTTTGTAGGGGGCAAACAAACCTACCTCGCTTTTGACCACCCTCGCTTCCAAGAGATACCAAGCGATGCCAAACTACGGCATGTACTGGTCAGGCCGCTTGACGAGGAGGCGTATGGTATGACTTGGTTTTGCCTGGAAGCGAAAGCGGGGTAGGTAATTGACGCTCTGAGTTTGGTTCGGCCAACAATCATGAAAAACCATCAGATAGATAACATCTCTGGCTTTTCTCGCTCACAATGTCGAAATGCTTCGGGTTCCCGCCCTCTCGGCCTTCAGGGCGTCGAGGACAACCCAAAATACCTCCGATTGGGCGCCCGAGTTATCCGGGGTAACTCGGGTCCGGGGTAACTCGGGTTTGGATTCCCAAAAACAGAACCCGAGTTAGCCCTGACCCGAGTTACCCCTGATGATTCGGGGCTCTGGACGCCCGAATTATCCGGGGTAACTCGGGTCCGGGGTAAGTCGGGTTCGGATTCCCGAAAAAGGAACCCGAGTTAGCCCTGACCCGAGTTACCCCTGATGATTCGGGGCTCTGATCCGAGACTTTGCCAAAACGGCCCCGACTCACTTCGCGCGGGTCGAAGCCTCATCCAGCCGTCTGCCGGCTGTGCGTCGTTGCCCTTCACCCCGTCGATCTTCGATCGTCAGTCGTCGACGCTCCCCAAGAGACAAGCATCCAAGGCCTCTCGGGGGGCCGTTTGGGGGCCTCTTTTCCTCCTCCTGGAGGTCTCTCGGGGCCCTCTTGGGCCGCCTTGGGCGCCATCATGGGCATGGGCGCCAACCAAGCAGCGCAATCAACCTGAGAGGGTCTTCAATACTGCAGGTGAACACCCCAAGAGAAGCCCTCGCCTGGCAGTAGCACTCGCCCTTCCCCTCCCCGCCCTTCCCAGGCAGTGAGCTCCTGCTCGGCCTGTGCGTGCAAGCATCGGGCCGGGCGAAAGGGGGGGATAGCAAAGGGGGGGTTTGAGAATCAGCTCACGTAGCTAATTTTCCCGGCGCCTCCCGGCGCCGGAGGCGGCTATGTATCGAGGAACGGGCCCCTCGGGGAACCGAAACCAGCTACATGCAGCAGATTTCGTACCCCCCCCTTTCCCAAACCCCCCCTTTCGCCCGACCCGAAAGCAGGAGGACAAGACGGGGGAGGAGGCACTGTAGAATCCCGCAGCGGCATCCGGCGAGCACGGACGACGGCGGCGGCGGCGGCGGCGACGACGGCGGCAGCCTGAAAGGTGGCCGCCGCCGGGGGAGCACTTCTGTCCCAAGTGCTGCTGGAGGTCCCAAACCGTCAATCAACCCGCGCACAAAACAAAGGGCAGTTGTTTTAATACACAGGGTTTCGAACATATATGATTTTTAACACATGGTCAAGGTATGCATAAATGCATGCATGCATGCATGCACCCATCGTTGTTTTTAGTACTAAATCCCTGCATCTTGTTATACATGATCCGCACGCGGAGCATGTATTAAAAACAGCACTGGATCGATGCTTCCCATTGTGGGCTTTTCGTTTGAAGGACCCTCTGAGGTTACGTTGAGGCTGCGGGCACATACGTTTACAGAAGCGCGTGAGGGCAAAGGCAAAGCTCTGCCGCCCAGTGTGGGCAAAGTCCAGCAGACCTCGGACATCGCCTGATCGTCTGCCTTGACATTGTTGTTCCCCTCAGAATTTGTCCCAGAGTCAAGACGTGACCCGCATCGGACAGCAATGTTGCGCCCCCAAAGGGTGGTCCTGCCCCTACTTCCGCCTCAGCCCCTGCCCTCCCCCATCCCGCTGTTCTGAAGAGGCCCTGGGACACACAAATAAATACACACATGACAGGATTCCCCATATTTTCCCATATGTTCTGGGTTTTTGTCTTCCCCCCCACTTCCCATAGTTTCCTATATTTTCTTTGGAATCGACGATTAATTGCGCCTGTGTGTTTTTCTCCCTCCTGATGTTCCTCCTCCTCGGTCGCCCTGCACTTCCCGTGGCGGACAAAGCTGTCACGAAGACAACGGCTCGTGCATCCTGGGGGGGGAGGAGGAGGAGGAGGAGGAGGAGGAGGAGGAGGAGGAGAGGAGGAGGAGGAGGAGGAGGAGGAGAGGAGGAGGAGGAGGAGGAGGAGGAGGAGGAGGAGGAGGAGGAGGAGGAGGAGGAGGGGGAGGAGGAGGAGGAGGAGGAGAGATACAAGGAGGAGGAGGAGGAGGAGGAGGGGGGGGCGTTCCCACGGACACGTTCGGCTTGCCGCGGGTCGCTTGTGCTGACGGCTTCGTGGGCCCGCGGAGGGACCCCACGACACCGGGCATCGGGAGACACGCCTGAAATTCTGGCCCTGCGCCTCACCCGCCATCCTCGGGGAGGTCTTCGCAAGAACGAGTCGGGGCTCGTACCTACCACTGGGCCAGATCAGCAGGCCGGCTTAGATGGGGGGATTGGGCCGAATGACGCGGGACGGCGCTGGAATAAGCTGGATAGCGCCGGACGAGGCCACACTTCGACCACGGGCGTTGCAACGCCCATGCTGACTGTAACCTAAGAAATGGCATCCGAATCATCCGTCGACAAATGACACTGTTTGCGTGCTCGAGCGGGGTCTGAGGAGATGGGGTCGGAAGATCGCACCGCATCGCCGACGCATCGCCGATACGTCTACATCGACGACGCATCGCCGATGCATCGGTGTCGTGGGCGACACATCGGCGCCGTCGGCGTGGAGAGAACCCAGCTCCACATCGCGCCACATCGCTGGTGCGGCGACTCGGCACGATCCCCCGACCCCATCCACTCGGTCGGATCCCACTGGGAAGGTCTGGAGCAAGCGGAGCAAAGAAGAAACAATCGGGGTCGAGAGCTCCCACCCTGAGCCCATATCCCCGATGTCAATCGTTTTTGTTTTTTTGTTTTTCGTCGCGTGGACCACCAAAAGTTGGGCCCTTTTTCTGGGACCGGTTTTTCCTCCCGAGCCGATTTGAGGCAGCTTTCCTTAATATTCTGGCAAAACTACTTTCGGGTCGGGCGAAAGGGGGGGATAGCAAGGGAGGGGTTTGAGAATCAGCTCACGTAGCTGATTTTCCCGGCGCCTCCCGGCGCCGGAGGCGGCCATGTATCGAGGAATGGGCCCCTCGGCGAGGCCGAAACCAGCTGCATGCAGCTAATTTCGTAACCCCCCCTTTCCCAATCCCCCCCTTCCGTCGGGTCCGATACTTGGATGGATGGGGGGGGGCGGGTCGCGGTGAGATCCGAAAGGGAAGCAGGATTTCACGCACGCCGGGACTCACTTGCCCGATACATCTGAAGGGGCCCCAGAACACACAAATAAATACACACAAATAAAAAGATGTCCCATATGTTCCCCATAGTTTCTGGGTTTTTCCCTTCCCCCCCACTTTCCATAATTTTTGCATATTTTCTTTGGATTCGACGAGTAATTGTGTCTGTGTGTTTTTCCCCTCCTGAACATCGGAGATCCATCGGCGATGTATCGGCGCCGTCGGCATGGAGCAGATCGGGCTCCGCATCGACGAAACACCGCCCATGACTCCACGATGCAGAGCGACCCTCCGACCCCATCGACTCCGACCCCATCTGCTCGCTTACTGCGACTGTTTGCGCAACAGTGGGACCTCTGTGAGAGATTCCACCTGCTCGAGATGCGCGCCCCAAATAGCCAAGATCTACTCAATGAGGGGGAGGACCGGGAGGAGGAGGAGGAGGAGGAGGAGGAGGAGGAGGAGGAGGAGGAGGGAGAGGAGGAGGAGGAGGAGGAGGAGGAGTAGGAGGAGGAGGAGGAGGGGGGGGCTCGAGGGCCCGCGCCGATCGGCAACCCAACGAATACGAGAACGATCACAAACCTGACGCAACCTGTTTCGTTTCGCTCCACGATGCGAGGCGGCCGGGCAGATCGGGCAAGGCCTCGACGCGAGCACGGAAAAGCTGCCAACGACGGCGCGAGCCCCCGGCCGTGTCGCTCGGCCGCGACCTCCCCGCGAGCGGCCCCCGCCATCCGGCGGTGGTCGCGGTATCGCGCAGGCTTCGGTGGCAACTCATGCGAGTCTCCCATGCATCTTGTCGGCTCTTGCGAGTCGACGCTATTCGACGCCAGTCGCCGCTAATCGACGCTGAATCGACGCTAAATTGGCGCTATCTCATCGACTCCCAGACGCTACTCGACGCTAAAGGCATAATTCAAAGGGTATGCCACGCTCCCATGATTTTCCACCGAACGCAGGCTGCGCCTGCCCGGCGGCATAGCAAAGAGCAGCGCTCTCATGAGGTGGGACGAAGCCAGGACGGGGATAACATTTGGCGAGGACACATCGAGAATCTCCGAGATCTGGCGGCTCTGGAGGATGTCCCGGGCGCCGCGGCCCTCTCAGAGCCTTCCGGAACGCTCTGCGAGCGCTCCGGAACGGTCTGGAACGGGTTTATCCTCGTCATGGCCCGTCCGACGATCGGGGGCGGCCAAGAGGGGGGCGTTCAAGGGGGGGGGGGGGCGCAAATCATGGCCGGCGGCATGTGCGCGGCCCAAGGAGGCGGTAAAGGTCGTAATGAAACGCGCCATGAGATCAGGGGAAATATCATGGCCCAGGCCATGGTATCCACCCCCTCTTGTCTTAAGTCGGGCCTGTACCCCTACAGGAGGATCTTTGGCGACAAACATATCCCAAAATGTTGAACACATAATCAAAACACAGTCCCCAGATGTTTTATACAAAAAACTATTCTTGGATGTTCCCCCTGTAGAGGGACAGGCCCGCCTTCACTCTAGTCATCACCCCCCTCTTGGCCGCCCCCGAGATGAGTCTGCGGCAGCTGGAGAGCGGCTCCCGGGGCAGGAGCGGAGACGGGCTCCCACCACGAGCAGCCCGCCCCCGCGCCCCCGCGGCCTGGGCTCTGGGGCGCGACCTCCCGCGGGTGCGCGGTCGCACGGCTGGCGCTCGCGCGGGGCCTCCGCGAAACAGAACGACGCCCCCCCTCCGCGCGTTCGCGGCCCAGGGGACTCTGGCTCGCGGGGCCGCGGCTGCGGCTTCGCCCACGAGCCAAGGAAAGCAGTTTCGCCCCAGGAGCACGGCGCCGCACCGCAGATGCATCAGCGACGCACTGGCGACGTCGGCGATGCATCGACGCCATCGGCGCTCCACATCGAGTCGCACCATCACCGATGCATCGGCGGCCCATGCGGCGCGAGCCTCCGACCCCACCTGCTCGGGCCACCTCTGCTCGAGCGCCCCTGCGCGCCGTGGGCAGAACATGAGCATCGTTTAACCGACCCCCATCCCCACCAGCGTGGGCTGGGCCCCACTTGCCGATTCAATACCCTAGATGGGGATATAGGCCATTTCCTTCGGGTTTCGAAGGGCATATACCCAACTAGGGTGCTGAGATGTGTGGTGTCTGGATGGAGATGGGGATGAGGATGGGGATCGGTTAAACGATACTGAGCACAAGAGCGTCCACAAACGCTGCTTTCTCTTCTGCCTCTGGGCGCCCTCGCCAGGCCCCCGGGGGCTGCCAGAGAACACGGCTCGGGGTGAGGCACCGGTCTCGGGGAGAGGGTCCAGACCTTCGGCAGTCCACGCCGTGGAACAAAACTTAGGTCGGGCATGTCCCCCTACGGGGGGATTTGGGACAAAACATGGAAAATACAAAAGATAAATACAAAAAAACACTGAAAAAGATGGTTCCCAAAAATTGGGGAAACAACTATTTTCGATTTTTCCCCCTGTAGAGGGACACGCCCGACTCAAAACAAAACGCGCAGCACCAGGGGTCTGGGCTCGGAGTGGGAGCAAGATTTGGAGTCCCGAAACGGTGCGGTGCCAGACCGCGCGGTGACCTCGCAACCCCCCAAGACCTAACCGCACGGTCCGTCACCGCACGGTCTTGGGACCCTGGAGGCCCCTATCGCCCGAGACGTCCGCGGAGAACAACCCGAGTCCCAAAACCGGGCGGTGTGGCCACCACCCCGCTTGGGGGCCCCCGACAGGAGGGAGGGCGGCGGCACCAACACCAGCGCGAGGCGCCGGGGAGGGTCCGCCCGGTGGCGGGATCTCTCCGCCCCTCTCGCTCGAGACATGTCAGGGCCGGACCTGTGAGCGTTGTTTTTCTCGCTTTGCTTTCGGTGTGCTTGCTCGTCTTGCTCTGCCTGCCGGAGCGAGAAGCACAGCACGAAGAACGACACGCAAACAGAAGCACAAAGCAGAACGGAAAAACAAAGCCGAACGAACGAAACACGAAAAACGAACTGTACCTCTCTGCCAGAACGAAAAACAAAGCACAACCGAAGTGCAGCAAAGCAGCGGTCAGAGATCCAGCCCTGCGAGACGTCCCCCGATCCCCAGCTCGGGGATGCGCCGCGGCCGCCCTCGCTGGAGGCGGCCCACCTGGTGGTGATGGTGTCGCCTCTCCTTCCTCTGATCAAGGTTGGCGACGCGCACATGGGGGTAGGAGGATGAGGATGAGGATTAGGATGAAGAGGACGAGGAGGAGCAAAGCCAAGCAAAGAACTATCAAACCCAAAGTCTGTCTGTGCAACGAGACAAAACAAAGATCTGGATCTAAGTGGCTAGTGAAAGCGACTTCTCACTGAGGGGGGGCCCTGTCGGCGGGGGGGCGCACAAACCTGAAGACGGCCCCTGAGGAGGCACACTCCTGTGGGCGTCTCATGGCACCATCCCCTTTACAAAACCCTGACAGCAAGACAACTACGGAGGTCGCCCTCGACCTGCACCCTTTCCCCTCCGCGTCACGGGCTTCGCGCGCGCCTTGGAGACAATGATTCTGCCCTCGTCGAGCGCACTCCCCCTTAGGGCAAAGAGTTCACTGCCCTCGGCGGGTGCCGAAAGCGAAACCGCAGAGGCCCCAGGCACCACCCCAGAGGGTTCCGAGGGGGAGGAGAGTGCGCCACGACGTGCAAGCTCCAGATAACGAGCACTACCCAGGAAGGCGGAGGAAGGGGGAGCAGGCGGGCGACTCCGAGAAGGAGGGAGGCGAGGGGGCCCGACCGAGCGATCGATCCCATACGAAACCGAAAACCTGGCAAACGGTCGGGCCCCTGAATTACTAAAAGGCTGGGTGTCACGGCCTGATGAAACCGACAGTGATGTCTGGGTCGGAGGCGACGTATTCTCAGCACCACTGGAAGCTGCTGCCAACAGCCGTAGTACGAGGGCCCGCCGACGCGCATCTCGCTCCGCATCATCCTCAGGAGGACGTTCAGCAGCAGCGCGAACAGCAAGAGGAACATTACCACTCAGAGAACTCATGCCAGCACCAGGGTGTTCACCCGAAGGGCCTCGGGAGAGCTCAGGGCGAACGGTATCCTCAGGAGGTCGAGGGTTGGGAAGGCCGTCAGCATTACCACTCAGAGAACTCAAGGCAGCACCATTCGTCAACGATGTAGCGCCAGCAGCATCCTCAGGGGGTCCCAAAAGTGTGGTGCCATCAGCACGCTCAGAAGAAATCATACCAGCACTAGCGCCCACGATGGTAGAGCCAACATCATTGGAAGAAACATAGCCAACACCATCTTGCCCATCGGTAGAGCCAGCATCAATCACCAAGGTCTGAGGTACACCAGCGAGTGAAGAAAAAAAGACTGAACCACTCCCCAGGCTCGTCGATCCCCCGCCACGTGCATCCCCCCCCCCCAGCGGTCGGTACTCCGATCCCACCGATGCCACAAGGGCGAGGTGAGACCGAAATGCGCGCCGCTGGAGGTTCCGTCAATGGACTCACTTGCCCTCGAGCCTGTCGAGCAACTTCTGAGCGTCCCTCTCGAGGGCCCTTTTCGGGGCAGCGCCATACTTGCAAATGCCCCCGATCCTCAGAAAGTACTTGATGAGCGCGGGCTCGAGCGCAGCCTGGGACGAGTCGACGGCGAAAGTCACGCGGTGCAACGACTGCTTGCCCTCCTGTTTGCGGGTCGGCCTGATACGGCAGGCACGGGCGCTGGCCGCCACTGCCTCGAGCTCGTTGGTCACGATGAAGGAGCTCCAGTAGGCCGAGATCGCGGCCTCGGCGTCTTGCAGGCACCGTTCGTCGGCGCCGATTGCACGGAGCATCGCCACCCACACCTGCACGAACGGGGGCGCAAGAGGCTTGGCGTCGCTGCTGCCCTCGGACTTGCGCCTCTTGGTCCCTCGTGGTAGGCTTTGCCTGCCGCTACTGCGGCGACGATCACGGCGGCCTCGGGCGACACGAGAAAGGTGACGAATACCACTCCACAGATCTCTCGAAGCTCGGCGGCGTTGCTGAGGGCCAGGCGCGCGAGGATCGCGACGAGGGCCTTCAACGTGCCTCCGTTGCCCTTGCCTTCCCCGACTGCTTGCTCGAGAAGGCGAGCCGTCTTGCGGGGGGGCTCGCCGCCGGCGTCGGTTGCCGACGCGGCTGCGGGAGCCGCGAGCATCCAGCTGGGCGTCGACTCCATCGCTCTCAGGAAGGTGGAAGCGGACACGGCACAAGATGAGTGCGTAGGTGAACCTGGAGATCGGCCAGAACGCCTGCGGAGAAAGGGCATATGGGGACAAGTCAAACTCGACGGCATTCGGGATTCGGCTAAATTTCGGGTCCGATCTCGTAAGCAATGGCCGCGAACCAGACTCCGAGCTAGATGTCGTCGGGCACTCTCGGGATGAGCGAAAGTAGCCAAGCACACGCAACACTGATTGGTGACCGTGACGACATGAGCCAGGGACCGACACCCATGGTGATTGATAATATGATTACGTAGCGCCCGTCGATCGGGTAAAGACTTGCCACATCCAGTGCCATCCGCATTCATTGACATACAGGTAAACTCGGCAGCACTCACAACCTGGCTCTCTAGCACGTCCACGGGAACAGACGCAGACCCTGGAGGGGGAACGCGCGCCGAAAGAGCCGACGCACGAAGTTGACGCACATCAATCCTAAGAAACTCATCTGCGTACTCAGGATCAGCAAATAGAAGGAAATAGCATCGATCAAGCCAGCTAAGTAACGAAGCCCCATCTTCAAGCCCCGAGAGACTATCAATATCAGCAACGAAACGAGCCGTCCAAGAAGGCATACTCGCACCAAGACGACCACTAGGTAGCACGACCATAGAGCGAGCCAGAATACTGCCACCAAAGCCCCCAAACATACTGGCCAGAACCTGTCGATGAGCCCCTGGAACCCGAGCGAAACTCTGCCACAACCGAAGGCGACGGATACGAAACTCCAACTCGAGCGGGACGAACCTCCACCACCTGAGGACGGCCTCAGACGACAAAGACGTAGGGTGTGAGGACTCATGCCACGTAGTGGCCTGGCCTAGCATAGCTTTGCGGCAGTACAAAGTAACAGTAGTTTGCAGTCGATGCAGTTGCTGGGGACTGGGTAAGAAAGCCTCCAAACCAGATAACGCCACATTATAAATCTTAGATATCAGTAAACATCGCCGCAGCCTATGAGGAACACCCCGAAGAGTCCAGAAGCCACCCATGGAATACCAAGACTGCCGAAGAGCGCTCAAGCGGGACCTAAGCTCTGCCTCGAAGCTGGTAGGATTGCTGCGCATCCAGGCCCCCGAGTTTTTCGCTTCCAGCACGGACTTGCCAGGAAATGTGATGCGACCAGACTTGACGGATCTCAAAAATCGTCCCGACTCGTCTCCCCAGACGCGCAGCAACGTGTCCTGCTTACTCAAGTTCTGGGCAAACCCCACCTCGGACAGAAAGGAATCGAGGGAGGCGTTGGACCGTCGACTAAGTTCCACAAGACCCCCCAGCTCATGGCACCGAGGAAGAACCAACTTTTTTGTCAAGTCATCGGCGTACTTGGCACGGGAGCAGTCGATGCGCAGCGGCAAGGGAGCAATCTGCCCATTGACCAGCACAGGCAGCTTCGCACGCAGTAAGTCGGCCAGCGGATCCCAGCTCCGCTGGGCAGCAAGCCAACCTTCAACAGGTTTGATGAAGGTCCTCAAAAAAAATCACGGCGAACTCGTCCCCCATCAATCCTCCACTCCCAGGTGCAATGTGTATGTCCGTGTCGCGTCCCCGAAGAGTGATGAGTGCGCTGCGAAGCCTATGCAGACCGAACCTCGAAGTGTTCTGCGTAAAAAAAGGTCAGTGATCGCGTGTTCCATATGTGCCCTAGAACTGCTAGCGAACGCGTTCGTGAGGTCGTGCGCATTCGTGATAAATCGGCCCCCCTCCTTCTTCAGCCATTATCCCGTGATCCCCTGGACAATCAGAGCACACTCCCGACGGCGAAACCGAAGAAACCCATGATCTTAATCGGTGCCCTGCAGAGGGCCCTTCTGGGCCATAGCTCCAGACGTCCAGGACTTGCCAAAGGGATCCAATAGATGTATCCAGCGGGTTTTGCCGTCAGGCCGAGGAAGAGGCGCGCCGCGGCTGCGGTTCCAGAACACAGGGGCCTGGCCGCAGGCGCGAATACGTGCTAGTCCAGACACCACAAGCTCCTGGAGATCCTGCAGATCATGCGGGCATCGATCGGCCCAAACTCCCAGAGGTTGATTGCCCAGATTTCGCCGGGGCAAAAAGACGAGCCACCATAGCTCCAGCGGCGGTGACCATTCAGGAACAGCTCGTCGTTTACCAGCCTTGGAAACACGGTGTCTGATAGCACGGAAATCACACCTAGCAGCAACATAGTGTTCATCAAGAAGAGTCGTGGGCCCAGGAACACGGGCAATCCACTGAGCGCGCCAAGCACGCCAATCTGGCACAGGATGCGCAGACATGCCTCCCTCGGGGCCAGGACGGGAGAACAGCTCTTTCAACTGCACAGCGTCGTCAACCGCGCCACGGATCGTACTATAGTCACGCCTCTTGGGCCCAAAACGAGAACCCGCAGCGCGGCGAGCAAGACATGTAGCTTCGGCAAGACGCCAGTGCTCCAAAAGAGCTTATCTCCGTGCCTCAGCCCCCCGTCGTCGAAACACACGGTAAAGACGAGAGACGTGTCGCAGCCGATCTTGAACCTGCTGAGCCAAGGGTTCATCAACATCTGGGAGCAACAGGCGAAGCTGGCGACGCTGCTCTAAAAGTTGCTCTCGCTCAAGATGAAACTGCTCCGAAACCTCATCCCTAGCCCCCTGAAGCACCTGCTGGCCCACCTCAATCAACAGCGAATTCAGTTTCTCAAAGAACTCATCAGCCGTCGGGCGAGCGAGCAGTCCATGAAGCAAATTAGTCTCCTGCTCGACGCGCGCGTGCAAGGCAGCCGTGAACTCGGCTCGGCGCTCTCCGCGCCTCACACAGCGCATCAGGGCATCGCGATCCCAGAAGGCAGGGCCCTGCGGAGGGGTGTGTGTCCGACGGCATAGAGAGGATGTGAGGGGTCTTGATCATAATGAGAAGGTGGTCAGCTGGCTTCTTGCTCGGAATAATCTGCAATTCTCGGCTCACTCGGCGCAAAGGCCCGCGGTTCGACATATTCTGCGCGAGCGGCCGAGGAAGACAAATCAAGTCTATGGTGCCGCTGCCGTCATTGTTCGAGAAGAACGTCGGCACGCGCTCCCGCGCGCAGTTTGCCGCACAAAGATCGTGGGCGCCGAGGACCTCGGCGACAGCAATGCCAGCATAGTGGGCCTTCGTGGAGAACTCTGGAGGTACCACATAGTGCCCATCAGCCTTCCAGCCTTCCCGCCCGTGGTGAACCAACCCCAATCCATCATTCAAATCCATCCCAACTACAGGCGTTGTTCGCCGCGGCAGCGCGCAGAGCTGGGATGAAAGCGAGGCCGTCAGCGCATCACAAGTCTTATGATAAGTGGCTAGTGCTAGGAGCTCCCGAGGGCGTGGAGGATAATATAGAGCGATGGTCGTAATATCTGCCATATGGTTTTTGGCCCGAGCCAGAAGCCCACGTCCCTGGAGATTATCAGGAGGTACGGCGACTCGAACAATATCACGATCACGATATAGCGTACGCACTAACATATGGACCAACCTTATATCCTGCTTCGACAACGACACAACGGCCATCACTTCCTGGGACAGGGACGACGCGGCGCCGTACACTGGTGCCTACCGTGGCCTTGACCTTGGCCCCGACCAAGCACACGCTGTCGAAGCTGGTCGTGCGGCGCACAATCTCGCCCAGCCTGTCCTCGGAGTTCGCCCTGAGGGGATTGTAGGTGCCCGCTATGAGTGAGATCGTGCGGATGGCCAGCAGCCCCCAGCACAGCAAGAGAAAGGACATGGAACGTGTAAAGAGAAGGGGTGCTACGCTATGCAGAAACACGGCCCCGCTGCTGCGCAATCAGAGCCGAGAGGCTGAGGAGAAGGAGGAGGAGGAGGAGGAGGAGCAGCAGGAGCAGGAGGAGCAGAGGGAAGAGGAGGAGAAGGTAGAGGGGGAGCAGGAGGAGGAGGAGGAGGAGGAGGAGGGCGAGGAGAAGGAGGAGGACCCCTTGAGCCTGACGGGGCGGAAGAGTCGACACCAGGGGAAAGCTTTTTCGAAAGAGGCTGCTCCGCAGAATGCGCCAGCAATATATCTGCAGGCACGGCCCGCGCCTTCAAGGAATCATGGAGTGTGAATGAGAAGTCTTCCCCCTCCCCCCCCCCCCTCCCCCCCCTCCCCCCCCTCCTCCTCCTCCCTCCTCCTCTCCTCTCCTCCTCTCCTCCTCCTCCTCCTCCTCCTCCTCCCCCTGTCCCCCCCTCCGCGCGTGGCCGACAAAGGGGGGGGGCCCGGGGAACGACCTGCGACGGGCCCCCCGGCAGGGAAACCGCACGTTCCCGGACGGGTTCGGGCACCCCCACGCGCCGGCTGGCAGCAGTGAGCACGGGCGATCGGGGTCGACGCGTTCCCCCCCTGAAGGAATTGACCTGTTATAGGAGTTATCAATAGTTATAAGTAGGTTATAAGTATGTTGTATAGGTTATAACAGGTTATAACATGTTATAATGTGTTGGCGCACTTATAAGTTTGCTAAGTCGGAGCCCTGAGTTAGCCCGAGTTGTAAAAGTTAGTAACTCCGCTAACTTTTCAACATGGTTCTCACCATATCGACATAATCATATATTTTTCAGGGTGTACTCTTCAAAAAAAGAAGAATTTGATAATATTTTTGCAAGTGTTGCACTCATCATTGCGACTTCTCGCATATCATATCTACGCTGATCACAATTGCAATCGATGCAAATCCGCAGGTAGTGTTGCAACAATTGAGTTGCATGTTGTTTTTTTGGGCATGCCATGTTGAGTCCGTTGTCATTTGGGCTCCAGGGCATTTCGCGCGCATCATTTTGTGCTCACGATTTGCAAGTTGCGTCTTGCATCCATCTGAGACATGCAGCCGCATGGAGCGGATGCTAAGATTCTCAAATGCAAGGACGCAATGGACATTATTGAGAGGAAGTTCGACTCGCCTAAAGCAGAGGTGGTGGATTTGTACGAACAGGTCAAGGCGATAGCTCGCCAACATGGTATGCTACTGACAGAGAAAATCAACAGTAAGTATATGTACGTGAGCCCATGCAACAGATATGGCGACGGCGTCGTGCCGTGTGACGTCACTGACTTGATCATTAAAATATTGGGAAATGGGTTCAGGCACGAGCATCTGTTGATGCCTACGTGTGCCGAGGTGCCCCCAGTGGGCACTGCTGAGTACCTCAAGATCAAAGGGTTTAACGACAAGATAATGGCCGATAGCGCAGGACAGCTACCGTTCTACGATGATGGTGATGGTAAATATCAGAGTTACACATGCGGTCATACATCGCAAGGTTTGCGATGCATCATACATGGCACGAACGTGCCCGAGACCAACCCAGAGCGGTTCAGCGACATAAGCCAGGACGGGAAGATATCGTTGCAACGCCTCCAGCAATTCCAACCAACTTATGCTGATGCGGCTGTAAACGGTATCACATGGGACATCTTCAAATGGCAGTTTATCGAGGCGTATCCTTTCGTTCCAGACCATGTGCAAGAAGCGGGCAACGCAGGGCAGGCCGCTGCCAAGTGCGAGAGCAGGCTGGAAATGCTCAAGATTGCGCAGTACGCGAAGAGCCTGAAGCAGAAATTAGAGCTGAATCCGAATGAGACGTTCCCATGGGATAAGGTCAGGCGCCAGGCGGGCAGGGGCGCAGTCTTCAAGCATGAGATAGACCACATGGTGGACTATGTGAAGGAAATGTCAGGCGGACTGGACAATCCAGTGTTTCTTCACGAGCTAAGGGACTTCAACAGGCACCTGGCCAGAGCGACGATAGTAAAGTCAGATGTCGCGGCAGCCGTCGCGACTTGCAAGATCGCGAAAGAGGGGTCGGGGGTGCTATTCAAGCTCGCGTGCATCAAGGCTATGCATGGCCCGAGCGACAAGTATAGGAAGGGCGACGAACAGACGCTACTGAAGCTCTCGGACGTCAATGTGTTGCAGAACGAACGCAAGGCGCAGATCGCGTTACAGGGCGATGAGTTGCTGCAGAAGATTCGCAAGCTTGCGATTGACTTCGAAATCGATCCATCGAGCGCTCGCTGGTCCAACATAGTCGGGCTCGCCGATGTTCGAGTTGCCCACTTCGTCTTCAACAAGCCCGACGAGAGCCGCGGGGCATACAAACAGATCACCGACATCGCAGTTGACGCTTGGAAAGCTATGGCTGCCAGCACTGGCAATAACAACGTTCGCTGCCCATGGAAGGCCAAGGCCGTCGCGCATGCACCAGAGTGTGCTAGCAGCGTCTCCTCGACAGGTGTCAAGACCTTTGACCAGCGTGGCGAGTGGGTGAACGTGTCCGAAACGTTGGCTGTCAAAGGTTCCAAGGTGGGCGTGACGGTGTACAACCGCCAGGAGGGCGATGAGTCTGTGTATGAGATCAAGTCGATTGATGGGCAGAATGTGAAGATGCAGACGGGAGACGTAGAGCGCACCATAGATGCCGAGGACTTCATGCGAAACAAGTTCGCAATATACGACATCAAGAAAGAGGTAATCGACCAGTCCGACCAGTTCAGCCCATTGAATTGCATGGACTACCACTGGGGGGTCGAGGAAGCTCGGATCAAGATTGCACTCGACGAAGTCCATTCACAACATAGTGCTTGCCTCAAGCATATCACGGCGATTCATTCGCCAATCAAATATAAAGCGGTGTCAGTGAAGAAGGAGTTCAAGAAGGACGCCATCGGACTTGTTCCGTTGACGACAACCATATCGCTCAAGAAGGCGACGGATGAGATCAATATTGGCAACGTTTGCCTTAGGAAAAATACCGACCCTGCCAAGCATGCCGATTACAACGTCGCGTTGATGGCCGCTGGCGGGCTCAGGCTCAAGCGTGAAGAGGGTGGGACTGGCATTGGTGGTCTGAAGCGCGTGCCAGATCAGTACGGGGTGCCTTTCTGGTTGGTCGGCGTGTGCACCGCGAAGGAGAAGCCAAACTTGGCTGTGACATTTGTGACCGCCACGAACGGCATTAAGGTTCCCATCCTCAAAAACACGGTCGAGCTCAAGAGCGGCGACAGGTTGCGCATGTCCGAGGACACAGCAAAGGCGCTTGCAAGGAAAGTTGCATTGTCCGACGCCACGCCCGCCAAGCCCGCCAAGAAAAAAGCAAAGACGCAGTGAGCCGCCCATTCGCCGCATTGCCGCGGCATTACGCAGGGCGTTGGCGTCGCCCTCCGTATATGAACGCACCTTGTTGGATGGCGAAGACATACTGAAATGCTTCATCCTGCGATGCGTCATCACACCATCGCATCGCATCATTCTGCGATGCAGCATCGCGCCAGTCTGCGACATCGTCGCAACGCACCATAGCCGTTCTGGCTCAATCGCTGGGGTATCACGCGGCCCACGCTGCCCCGCACGTCTGCATGTCAGTGTCTGTTTCCATGCGCACGGTGATCGAGGGCGGCGGGCTCAAGGAGCCGTGGATACCGCGGACTATTGTCCATAGCGGAGGTATTGCGTTCATCGAGGTATCCCTGATGGACAGGAGGCTCTTCCAGTTCGTCGACATCCAGAACCCAACAAACAGGAACGCCCCATTTGCCGAAAATCATTTCTTCAAAGAGTTGAAGGCCCTCCGAAACGCTGCATCGGACATTGCGATATGGGAGTACATGAAATCGCGAGACCCATTGCTGTCGGACCAGTCTGACCAAGACAAACTGATCAAGGCCTACAAGAAGAACATCGACGAGAGTGCTACGCCAGCATACGTTACGGTTCAGTTGCCAGAGGTTGAATTTAATGGTGGCGGCGTGGCCTTGAAGTGCGAGCCGATCGCAGTAAGATGCATATTTTCTGCATCAGCGATTAGCAAGGTACATGTGGAATGTACAGAGAGCGTACTGACTTACATCAGATGTGCTGCGCTGAAAGCAGCAGAGGACGATGGCACCGAGAAACAAAAGAGAGGACTGAGCGGAGTGCCAGGGGTCCGATGCGACAAGCGTCGCAGGGTAGTGTATGTCGTTGTGAAATCCCACAACTCGTCAAGACGCATCTATCAAAAACCAGTGGAATGGAATGACACGTGTATTTTGCACTGCGCCCGCGAGCTACGCGACAAAGTGGTCGCGAAGGGCGAGGAGATAGAGGATCACGAGCCCGATGCCGATCTTCTCCATGGGCTGAATTGTGCCGAGCATGCCGAGGGGGGTGGACCCGAAGATCAACAGGGCGATGGCGAAGACGACAATGTCGATGCTGCGGGTGATAGCGACGCCCAGGGCTGAGACGCCAGGCGCTGCGTCGGGCACGCACAGCGCGCCCACCCTTTCGACCTCCTATCTATTCTCCCACCGTCGGCCCCGTCGTCCTTCCCACCCGCGGGGGGGGGAGGAGGGGGAGGGGGGGGGGCTCGTCGCCATCGTTTTACACGCCCCCTCGTGCCACTCCTCGCCCGTTCGCATCCTAGATGCGCTCTTCAGGCAGACGTGCCGCCGCCACCCCTCACCCCTGAATGTTCAACAAGGAACCATCTGGGAACGACCTCTTATAGAGCGCCAACTCGTCCTGAGGGCCTGCACCTCCTGCTCCAGCCCCTCGACCTTCTGCGCTGCCTCCGTCTGCTGCTGTTGCTGTAGCGCTGCCTCCGTCTGCTGCTGCTGGTGCCGCTGCTATGCGATCGTGCGCTGCTGCTCCCCCAACTCCGCGAGCAAGTGATCGTGCTGCTGACCGCGCAGCAAGAGATCGTCCTCCACATCGTCCACTCGTGCTAGCAACACTCGTGCAGCATTTACGTGCG